TGCTACACTTCTTCAATGCACCTCTGGAGGTGACCGAGGAGAACTTCTTCGAGGTGGGTGCGGCGGAGGTGGTCCCTCACCACCGCCATCTGGGTGGGCCGTTTTTTGTTTTTTTTTTGTTTTTTTGTTTTTCAACCAGTTCCTATTGAGCCCCGGCCCTGCCAGGCCCTGGGTTGGATCCCAGGGCTGCAGCAGGGACCAGGATGGAGTGGCTGAGAAGGGCATCAAACCTCTAGCAATGGTGAAGTTTGCTATACTGTTTTATTATTGACAAGCGAGAATGGCTGCATCTTTGCTGAAAAAGGTTTCTCTGTGTCTGGGTGATAGAGGCATGATCAGAGTCCAGTCTCAGAGCGTCTACGTAGTCAGGCCCTCCCGTGCCTAGATAACATCAGAAGGGAGGCTCTTATTAAGGCCTCATCAGAGGAAACTGGAACACTGAGGGGGAGGTTGGCTGACTGGCAGGGTTGGACTTCAGACCTTGCTCTGGCCCGGGGTGTTGCACATGAGTTCAGCAAACACTTACTGCCAGTACACCCAGGTGAGAATTTGAGAAAGCAGTTTCTATTTAATGATGGTAGTTAGCAGTAGTAAGAACACAGTTAAGAGTGGTGTTTCTAAACCTTTTTTTAGTCATGGGGATACCTTAGAGTATGTTGTGTGATCAGAGCTTAAAAACTGTCCAGGAAGGGGGATCCCTGGTGGCTCAGTGTTTTGGTGCATGCCTTCAACCCAGGGCATGATCCTGGAGTCCTGGGATTGAGTCCCACAGGCTCGCTGTGTGGAGCCTGCCCCCCCCCCGCCCCCAAATGAATAAGTAAAATCTTAAAAAAAAAAAAAAAAAAAAAAAAAACGTCCAGGAAAATAAGTACTCTGTCATGGGCTGAGTCCTGCACGTGATGTTCCTGTTTCTGAATCCATTTTCTGTGTCTTGCAGATCTGCGATGAGCTGGGAGTGAAACGGCCATCTTCTGTGAAAGTATTCTCAGGCAAAAGTGAGTAAAGTGTCCCCACCTTTCCCTGTTCTTTGGCTGTAGGTCAGTGGCCCCCTGCTTCCTGCTCAGGTTGGCCTAAAACTTTTGCATTTTGATCAGGTGAACGCAGCTCCTCTGGGCTGCTGGAGTGGGAATCCAAGAGCGATGCCCTGGAGACTTTGGGCTTCCTGAATCATTACCAGATGAAAAACCCAAGTGAGTATCTGTGTGTCCTGTAGTCATCCCCCTGGTGGCCTAATGGTGGTCTGGCTTCAACCCAGAGCTGTCCTCCTGCTGTCAACATAGGACCCCAGAGATCTCTTCACTGTTGCTGACATGGGCAGGCAGTACCTGGTCACCAGGAGATTAGCCTGATGGTCCCCATGGGAGGGAGGGCTAGCCTGGCTGCTTGCCACCACCCACTGCCAGCCTGAGGGTTACTGAGACTCCTCCTCCAGGGACTGGCATTCTGTGCGTCAGAAGCTGCCAGTAAACACTCAACACTGTCTGTTGCAGAGGCTGGCTCAGATAGTACCCAGGAAGGGGCTGTTCTGGCAGCAGGGAACACCTGCCCACTTAGGCCCTGGGCCAGCTGAGGAGCTGGGAATGGGATTGTCCATGGAGTTGAAGGGGAGGGGAAGTGCCTTCACTATTGGGCTTGTTTGCGAGGTTCATGGTGGGCAGTGACCAGGGACCGGTTAGATCCCTGTGGTCAAACTGCAGAAATGGAGGGGAGCCCAGCTAAACCTCTCTTTGTTCTTTGCAGATGGTCCATACCCTTACACTCTGAAGTTGTGTTTCTCCACTGCTCAGCACGCCTCCTAATAGGTGCCCAGGAAGAGTCCCATCTGAGCAGGAAAACATTTTTCCTTTATGCTGTTTGTTTTGTTTCTGTTTTTTTTTTTTCCTTTGCAAAGTTCCTGTATTCCTTTTTTTAAATGCTAGGTTAGTGGGCTTAACCATAACGGAAACGCTGGAAGTCTGGAGGGGGAGGGGAAGGGGACCTGATATCTCCCAAGATTAACCTTCACTTTTTAAAGAATTATTGTACATGTGATTTTTTTTCCTGTTCATACATTTGTGCTGCCTGTGTACTCTTAGCACATTTCAATAAAATTGTTTGGAAAATAAACTTCGTGCTTACTGGGATCCTAGGGTGTGTCTGCTTCCCTCCCACCTGGTCTCTTGCGGAGGAGCAGGCAGGCCAGGACACAGCACAGCTGCAGGCCCTTGGGAGATACAGGCCCAGCCGGCAGCGGGCCAGGCCGTCGCAGCCCTGGGAATGCTGCTAGCAATTAAGCAGTCTGTTGAAAATCTTGGGAGGTCTGGTGGTGGTCTTCATGGGCCCTGCCCAAGCAAGCTGAATCTAGTTGGAGAGTCACTTAAAAGGTAAATGGTGCTGAAAATACTAAAAACTTCAAGAGATTAAAGAAAAAAGCCTTAATCCTGTCCAGTAAATACTTTTATGAGGTTTTATTTTCCAACCTTATAATAAAAAGTGAAATTCTGCTTCCCAGCCCCTTTAACAATTTTTGGTGTGCTTCCCACCACAAAGTTTTACTTTTAACAAAACCCTTTATACTATACAGTGTTTTGTATCACATACAGAGCTTTCTCCTTTTATCTTTACCCCTGCAGTGTGTCATAGGGATGTGTCCTAATTTCCCTCGTCCTAAAGGGAAAATCTAGTTTCTTGCTATTGTAAACCATTGCTATATGTATGCAAATACCTCAAGCCAACTTCCCCATACTCATCTGGAGGTAAGTTCCTAACACTGGAATTGCTGACTTAAAAGATACTTCCTGGGTGGCTCAGGCTCAGTCTGATGGTTGAGCATCAGACCCGATCTCAGGTCTTGGTTTCAAGGGTCATGAGTTCAAGCCTGGCGTTGGGTTCCACACTGGATGCAGAGTCTACTTTAGAAAGCTAACAATTGCAATGTGGTAGAACTCTTGAGATTGTGGTAAATGGGAACGTGTGTATATGGTTGGAGTGGGGCGTGGGGGAGGGAGGGCTGTAGGTGGAAGGAACCTATCTTAAAGACCTTGATTCATGCTGGAAGGAAGAAATAGTCTGCAGAGAAGTGCAAAGGTCAGTTCATTGCGCCTTTTTGATGCAGATGCACCTGGAAGCTCACTGGGGCGCCTGGTGAGCTCAGTCTGTGGAGCATGCTACTCTTGATCTCAGGCTTGTGAGTTCAATTTCTTAAAAACAATCTTAGAAAAGAAAACCCACTTTGGTAATTTGCTGTGAAGTTATTTAAACTGATTATTAACATCTGAAGTCACATGGCATTTATGGAACGAACAAACTGCTTCACCAGGGTTTCAAACAACCTTTGCAAAGGAGAAACTACAGTTGCCTTGCAGCCATAAACTTCTAAGTCCTCTAGGATTTGTTTTCAAGTAAATCATGGGGGTAAGAATGTTTTCCCGTTTTGTCTCCCAGCACCCAGTCTTGTTTTGTTTTTTAAGATTTTATTTATTCAATGAGAGAGAGAGGCAGAGATACAAGCAGAGGGAGAAGCAGGCTCCATGCAGGGAGCCCGATGTGGGACTCGATCCCGGGACTCCAGGATCATGCCCTGGGCCAAAGGCAGGCCCTAAGCCGCCGAGCCACCCAGGGATCCCCCAGCACCCAGTTTTATCCCTTGTCAGTTTTGAAGATCCTCTGTGTATGTATTGTACTCCATGCACAAACAGTCATATATAACTGTCTTTTTTACACCAACCAATCATGCTAATTCTATTCGGGTGCCTGGCTGGCTCAATTGGTCAAGCATAGGACTCTTGATCTCCAGGTTGTGAGTTTGAACCCCATGCTGGGTATAGAGATTACTTTAAAACATCCTAAACAGGGGCCACCCAGGTGGCTCAGTCTGTTAAACATATTCAGCTCAGGTCATGATCCCGGGGTCTTGAGATCCAGCATCTGGCTCCCTGCTCAGTGGGGAGTCTGCTTCTCCCTCTCTGGCTTGTGCTATCACACACTTGCTCTCAAAGAAAATCTTAAGAAATAAATTCTAAAATTTAAAATTGTTTCCTATGCTGGCGTCTGCACAGTGGCTTCAGAGCTTCCCATTGTATAGATAACCATAAACAGTTCTCTGTTGATGGAAGTTTTCCAAAAGAGCTTACCCGTCTATGACACATTTAAGAAGGCAAGGTATTTCCTACAATTCCATTTGCCTGGAGGCTTCTGTCTTGGTGCACAATTCCCTAAAGAGCATGCTTAAGCAATTTTATGGCACTTTTGAGGTTCTTGGGTAACTGGCTTTTTCTGAAGTAGTTTTATTTTTTAAAGAAATTATTTTAAGGGATCCCTGGGTGGCGCAGCGGTTTGGCGCCTGCCTTTGGCCCAGGGCGCGACAGGGTGCGATCCTGGAGAGGCCGGATCGAGTCCCACGTCGGGCTCCCGGTGCATGGAGCCTGCTTCTCCCTCTGCCTGTGTCTCTGCCTCTCTCTCTCTCTCTCTCTCTCTCTCTGTGACTAACATAAATAAATAAAAATTTTTTAAAAAAAGAAATTATTTTAAGCACATGAACTTCAGAGCCGCATAGATGCCCTCTTTGGCACTCCTGAAGCCCAGATACCTTCAACTAGTGACTTTTCCTCCCCCAAGCTCCAGTTTCCTCAGGGCACAATCAAAAATAGTGCGACCTCTTGGTGGTGTGCGAGTTCAAACAGATTGCAAAGCGCGCAATGTTGGCTCCTCTATATTTTCATTCTCTTACAAGGGTAAGCTCAGTACTAGATAACTTTTTTTTTCAGTTAACAAGTTCCCAGTGCATGATGACAAAATTGCAAGGCTGCAGTTACTCTGCCATTATGTCCTTGAACATTTCAACCGTCCCCGGTGTCTCCCACCACTATGCAACAGCGCTGGGCTGAAACGTGCAGCAGCAACAATAAGCCAGGTTCCCACTGGGGCAAAGGGCGCATTACTAAACGCCTGTTTCCGGTTGCCCTTAGTAAAGATGGCGGAGGTATGGGCGCCAGCGCCATTAGGCTGCGGCATCGGTGCCCTCGCCAAACATGGTGGCGTCGTACCCGCCGCCCCCTTGGCTTCTTCCTGTCTGTCGGGCTAGTTCCGCTAGCTCCTGGGTTGCGATGGCGGCAGCGATGGCGGCTTCTCGCAGTCTCCGAGATCTGCTAATGCGGCGTGAGTCACCTCGACCTCTGGAGTCCGTTGCTCCGTCGTGCAGTCATAAGCGCCATAGGAGGCCTGTCGCGGGTGCCGGGCTGAGCACCTTAAACACAGGGGGTGCATATGCTCCCAACCAAAGAGCGCCCTAATTCTGTAAGCCTGTGCCTTACAATTGGGTCGCTTCGCGTTCCGCATGTGGGGTCAGCCCCACGATCAAGGGTCTGAAGAAGTCCTCTCACTGAGGCCACTGATCTGAAAGTTTGTATCCTCCTAAACTGAGGTTTCTTAGGGACCCGCGTTCCCCAGTCTAACATCACTGAAATGAAATGGGGCCCTTCTGCCATAAGGCACTGTGTCCCCAACCTGGGGTCCTCACCTCAAAGCCTCTTCTTTTCCTTTATCTCCCCAGGACTGGTGGTGCCCACCCCGCAGGGCCTCAGCCTTTGCCTTCGCCCCTTGAGCTCTGCTGTGCAAGATGAGGCCTCCACAGCAGCCCCCAGAGAAGCACCAGGCCACAACTATGAGTCCCTTCGGGTGACAGCTGCCCAGAAGCACATCCTGCACGTGCAGCTGAACCGGCCTGAGAAGAGGAATGCCATGAACAAGGCCTTCTGGAGGTAGGGCCTGTGGATCATGGAGGCCTGCCTGCAGGAGGAGGCAGGGGCTGAGGGAGTGGGCAGGAGTGGGGTGTGGGGGACAGAGTTCACCGGCATAGGATACCCTTCCAAGACACAGCCCTTCTCTCCTTGCCCCGCCCAGAGAGATGGTGGAGTGCTTCAACAAGATAGCACAAGACCCTGACTGTCGGGCTGTGGTGATCTCTGGTGCAGGAAAAGTATTCACTGCAGGTACCAGCTGCTCTCCACCCTCACCCCTGCCAGTCTCCCCTGCTCCAGGCATTAGAGCAGTGCTTCCTAACTAGGGTTCCAGCTTCTAACTTCCGCTTTTATATTTTTCTTTCTTTAATTTAAAACATTCATATACCACGGGGGGCCTGGGTGGCTCAGTGGTTGAGCATCTGCCTTCAGCTCAGGTCATGACCCGGGGTCCTGGGATCGAGTCCCACATCGGGCTCCCTGCAGGGAATCTGCTTCTCCCTCTGCCTATGTCTCTGCCTCTCTCTCTGAGTCTTTTTTTTTTTTTCTCTCTGAGTCTTTCATGAATGAATGAATAAATAAATAAAAAATTTTTTAATAATTTTTTTAAATTTTTATTTATTTATGATAGTTACACACACACACACACACACAGAGAGAGAAGGGGGGAGGTGCAGAGACATAGGCAGAGGGAGAAGCAGGCTCCGTGCACCGGGAGACCGACGTAGGATTCGATCCCGGGTCTCCAGGATCGTGCCCTGGGCCAAAGGCAGGCGCTAAACCACTGCGCCACCCAGGGATCCCAAATAAAATCTTTAAAATAAAAATAAAACATTCAAATACCAAAATGAGTCCAATAGAACATGACTGAATGATGAGCTTTGAAGTCTGATCCGTGGCCTTGACCAAGGCCCTTAACTTATCAGTCTGTTTTTTAATGTCACTAAAGTGTATTATAATAACATGCTTTCAACACACACGCACTAGATTTCCAGTTACATGTCTGTTAGGACTTTTAATTGTCCCACGCATCTGTTCTTCAGCCTGGATAATTTCCATTGACCAAGTTCCCTGAATCCTTTGTCATCCTAATTCTACTGTGAAGCCCATCCAGTGATTTTAAAAATTTTAGATACTGTGGTTTTTGGTTCACAAATTTCCACTTGGTTCTTTTTTTATATTTGCTGTTTCTCTAGTGTAGCTCGTTACTGATCACAAGCATGTTCTTTGCACTGTTGCTCCTAGTTCTAACCACTGCTTTAAAACTCTTGTCTCCTGGTTCCAACATCTGGGTCACGTTGGGGTCAGTCTATGTTCATTATCTCTTCTCTTGAAAGACTGAGTCTCATTCTCCTGTTTGTTTGCATTTGGAATAAATTCTGGGTTGTATCCTGGATATTGGGATATGGAAAGATGATGTGGAAACTCTGGGTCCTATTCTCTACCTCTGGAGACTTGAATTTCCTGTTCTAGCAGCTTAGTTGGAATCAGTTTTTATTTTTTTTTATTTTTTTTTTATTTTTATTTATTTATGATAGTCACACACAGAGAGAGAGAGAGAGAGAGGCAGAGACACAGGCAGAGGGAGAAGCAGGCTCCATGCACCGGGAGCCCGACATGGGATTCGATCCCGGGTCTCCAGGATCACGCCCTGGGCCAAAGGCAGGCGCCAAACCGCTGCGCCACCCAGGGATCCCTGGAATCAGTTTTTAAATCTCTTGCTGGGCTGCATGCATGGTTCATGGGTCAGCAAGAGATTTGGGCAGAGATGGTCCATAGAATTTGGGGCTCCTTTCTCTGGCTCGCTCTTTTCTGGAATATCCCCCCTCACTTTCCAGCAGCTAGGGTTACCCTGGACTCTGTTTTCTGGTTCTTCAGGCACAACTTCCAGCCTCCCCTTAGTCTAGAAACTTTAAAAATACCTAACTCTCGGGGTGCCTAGGTGACACAGTCGATTAAGGGTATGACTCTTGGTTTCAGCTCAGGTCCTGATCTCAGGACCTCAGACTTGAGCCCCACTCAGACTCCAAATCCAGTGTGGAGTCAGCTTGAGATTCTCTCTCCCTCTGCCTCTGCCCCTCTCGCTCATGTTCTTTCTCTCTCCCTCTCTCAAACAAATAAATAAATCTTTAAAAAAAATTTTTTTTAAAGAACTCCAACTAATTCTCACGGTGCTAGTCCCTTCTTTTAAGTGACAACTTCCTCCAGAATCTACCCTGTGCCAACAGGTGGTGGTTTATATCTTGTCGACCCAAAACATGCTAGTTGTCCTATGTGGGCAGCTTCCATTCCAGAAGTGAAGCAGTAGGTGGGTACATTGCTCTCTGCACAGGGCCCAGCCTGCTGCTGGGGACACAGTGGTGACCGAGGCAGCCCCGGGCCCTGGCATCACGGAGTGGCCAGCTCAGTGGGGAAGACAGACAGTAAACAGGCTATTTCTCGTTGTCTCCCCTCTTAACATCTTTACGTGTCCCCTCTCTTCGTTCTCTCGTTGATCTGTTTGGATGACAGACACCACAGCGCAAGCACCTTCCTGGGGGCCCTCCTCTTCACGGAGCTCATCCCAGAGAAACAAAAGACTAGGCTTCATCAGTGGCTGTGTCAGGCCTGGGGCCATCATCTCAGTTCCTAACTGGCTGAAGCTGTCTGCTCTCATTTTCAACAGCAAGACTTGCAAGGCCAGAAAGAAGAAACTCAATGTAATTAGTAGTTCCTATGATAGAATAGAACCACTAATTAAATAAATAAATAAATAAATAAATAAATAAATAAATAAATAAATAAAAGGAGGGAAGTAGCCCACACGTATTTAACATCTGCAGAGTGTCTGGACCTGTCCACATATTAATTAATTCTCCCCAGAACCCTTCCAGATAAGTGCAATTATTGTCCCCCATTTTATGTGTGAAGCAACTGAGACCCAGAGAGAGGAAGAAACTTGCCCGGTTCTCACAGTGGAAAATGGCAGAGCTAGGATTTTTGTTTTTTTTTATTTTTATTTTTTTAATTTTTTTTTAAAGGTTTTTTTCCCTTTATTTTTTTTTTTTAATTTTTATTTATTTATGATAGTCACACAGAGAGAGAGAGAGAGGCAGAGACACAGGCAGAGGGAGAAGCAGGCTCCATGCACCAGGAGCCTGATGTGGGATTCGATCCCGGGTCTCCAGGATCAGGCCCTGGGCCAAAGGCAGGCGCCAAACCGCTGCGCCACCCAGGGATCCCTATTTTTATTTTTTTAGAGAGAAAGTGTGAGAGCAGGAGGGGGTGGGCAGAGGGAGAGAGAGAACCTTAAGCAGACTGAGCAGGGAGCCCAACGTGGGGCTTAATCTCCCAACCCTGAGATCATGCCCTGAGCCGAAATCAAGAGTCAGATCCTTAAACCGACTGCGCCACCAAGGCACCCCTAAAACGTGTAGACCTTTTATTGATGGAGCCGTTATTATTTAGAATAATGAATAACAGAGTAAGGTTTATGAATGAGATCTGGAGCACTTCGAGGTTCCCAGGGGAGCCAGATGGGGGGCTTGTCTGCAATGAGCAGTTCTTAGGTGGGAGGAGGACACCTCGTACCATGGTCTGGTCCTTTATTTCAAGCGTTTGCAGAAGCCCAGGTGTGCAGGTCCGGGCGGTGTGGGTAAACCAGAAAAGCCAGGGATAGGAGGTGTTACAAGGTTCCAGGCTGGGCTTGTTCTGGGAGCCAGCGTGGGTTCTGTTGAGTCACACAGGCTTCACAGACCCGCTGTGGAAGCCAGCGGGCACTTCTGGCCTCTACTGAAATGGGGCACATGAAGTAACTGTGATGCCCTGTGACAGGGCAGGCCCAGGGCAAAGCGCCTCTGGGGCTCTGTCTCCTCCAGGCCTCTCTATCACCTCTGGGGAGGGTTTTACCCTCATTTTGTGGAGGAGAAGCCTGAGGCCCTGAGGATGAAGTGGCCTGGCTGAGGTCACACGGGAGTCCTGTCTTACCTGTATTTACCTTGCACAAATTCAGCTATACCCTGAGCCAAAAATCCTCAAGTCTCTCTTATTTCTTTATTTTTAGAGATTTTATTTATATACTCGAGAGAGGAAGTGCGACCATCTAAATGGGGCCAAGGGGCAGAGGGGGAGGGAGAGAGAATCTCAAGCAGACTTCCATTGAGCAGGGAGCTGGTGTGGGTCAATCCCAGGACTCTGGGATCACGACCTGAGCTGAAGGCAGATGCTTAAGGACTGAGTCACCTAGGTGCTCCAGGTCCCTCTTATTTAAACAAGCCCTGGAGGCCGCAAACACCCCCCCCTCCAAGTGTCAGGGGTGTGGCCAGATATGGGAGCGGTTTTTCAGTTTTATCAAATAACTTTGTTCAGAGGCAAAAGGATGAGAATGATTAACCTCAGGAGGAAGAAAGTAAGGGATGATTCTGCTTAGAACCATCTCATAGCAAGGTCTTACTCAGAGTAAAAGTCAAAGTCCACCCCCTGGCCAGTGAGGCCCCACACAGTCTGCCCACACACCTGGTTGCCCACTTCCTCCATGCTGTTCACACAGATCTGGAGCATTCCTACCACAGGGCCTTTGCACTGGCTCTTCCTGACATTTGGAGCTCTAATCCCAGATATCCCTAGAGCTCCCTCCCTCTCTTTCTTCAGATCTCTACTCAACAGTCACATTGTCAGGAGCACCTGGGTGGTTCAGTCAGTTAAGCATCAGACTCATCGTGCTCAGGTCATGATCCCAAGAGTTGTAAGATTGAGCCCTTGTCAGGCATTGCCCTGAGTATAGAGCCTTGCTAAGATTCTCTCCCCCTCTCCCTCTGCTCCTCCTCTTCTCCCACGCTACCCCCACTCCCTCTCGTGCACCCCTGCTCAATGAGGGTGGGCATTGCTGTCTGTAGTTCACTTATTGAGCACTTGCTGTATACTAGACTCTGTTTAGGCATGCAAATGCAGTAGTGGGCAGAAAGACAAAACTCCCCTCCTGGAGCTCACATCCTAGAGTGGAAGACAGGCCCTAAGTGTGAGAAGCCCACAATTATGTGATAACAGGGATGTAAAGGGTGAAAGGAATGCTACTTAGCCAGGGTAGCAGAGTAGGCCTCTCTGAGGAGCTGTGGCCTGAACAGAACGATGCAGTCAGTCTTCTTTTTTAAAAAAAGATTTTATTTATTTATTTATTTTTAATTTTTTATTTATTTATGATAGTCACAGAGAGAGAGAGAGAGAGAGAGAGAGAGAGAGAGAGAGGCAGAGACACAGGCAGAGGGAGAAGCAGGCTCCATGCACCAGGAGCCCGACGTGGGATTCGATCCCGGGTCTCCAGGATCGCGCCCTGGGCCAAAGGCAGGCGCCAAACTGCTGCGCCACCCAGGGATCCCAAGATTTTATTTATTTATTCACAAGAGACACAGAGAGGGGCAGACACAGGTAGAAGGAGAAGCAGGCTCCCTGCGGGGAGCCCGATGCAGGACTCGATCCCAGGTCCCCGGATCAGGACCTGAGCCAAAGGCAGACCTCAACTACTGAGCCACCCAGACGCCTCTGGAGTCAGTCTTCTGACCACCACTGAGGGAGGGACTATTCTAGGCAGAGACCTGTAGGTAGGAAAACAAAAGTCCCGGGAAGGGACTATGTGATGTTGTTGAAACAGCTGTTGGAGGCCTCTGTGCCCAAAGGAACAGGCTGGAAACGATGTCCATGAAGGCTGGTAAGGTTTTGGCACATACCTTGTATTTTCTTCCAAGTAAGTGCGATGGGTGGGAAGAAGAGAAGACTCTGATGTGCTCACAAGCTTGCTTGGCTGCTGTGGGGAAAAGTCAGGGCAGGGGTGGGAGTGGGGAGACCAGGGGAAACAATTTTCGGCAGAGTAGGGGTCCTGGAGAATGATTAGTGGAGGAAAGGTCAGATTTGGGATCGTCTTGCAGTTGGAGCCACAAAAATTGCTCCATCTCTTGAATCTTCCTGAGGAAAGTCATCACCGTTGACTCATGCCAAAAACCCTTGTCTCCTAAGCCACCTGACATGATGGTGAAAAGCGTGACCTCTGGAACCAGTGCATGGTTCTGGGCTTACCCCGTGCCACTACTCACAAGCCAGTGTGACTTTGGGCAAGTGGCTTAAACTCCATGTACCTTAGTTTACCCTCCCCCCAGTAAAATGGAGATAGTAATAGGACCCACTTCATAGGGTTGTTGTGAGAATAAAGTGAATCATGACCCTATAAATGCTAGCTTTTATTTATTTCACACCCAAGATGCAGTCCCTTGCGAAGTCCTGTGTTACGCGGCTTTCTCCCATGGTGGTTTGGGGGTTCGAATCTGCGAAAGCTAAGTTCTGACCTCTAGTGGGGGTAATGCTGGGGTGGGGCAAGTGGGAAGGGTGGTGCCTGGGAGGTTCCAGGGTCCTCCTCACGCCTCCCAACCAGGTATCGACCTTATGGACATGGCTTCAGAAATCCTTCAGCCCCAAGGAGATGATGTGGCCCGCATCAGCTGGAACCTCCGTAACCTCATCACCAGATACCAAGAGACCTTCAGTGTCATCGAGAAGGTTCTCTGGGGGGCTGGCGGGGTACCCCTCCCCAACCCTGTCCATCTCCTGTGGACCAGCCCTGACACCACCCTTTCTGTTCCCTTGCAGTGTCCAAAGCCAGTGATCGCCGCCATCCATGGGGCCTGCATCGGTGCGGGTGAGTCAGCCACCCACCACCCATCTGGGCCCTCGCCCTGGCGGGGTGCCTGTTGGCTGCTGCCTCTCCGCCTCAGCCAGGGACCTCCAGCCTCAGATCAGTCGCTGGTTAAACGATGCCCAGAGGCACAATGCCACCACCTGGGACCACCTGAGGGGTCGGTGCTTGTGGTTGTTTAACCCCCCTGGCCTCCACCTCACAGGTGTGGACCTCATCACTGCCTGTGACATCCGCTACTGTGCCCAGGATGCTTTCTTCCAGGTGAAGGTGAGCCTTCCTGAGCTTCCGGTTCCTGGGATCCTGCTCAGAGGTGGGCGATGATTGGCAGGGCGGGAGCCGAGCAGCCACAGAGCAGGTTAAGAGGGTGGGAGTGAGAGTGAGGGTGAGAACAGAGGGCTTCGTGGAAGAGTTAAACAGAATTGAACCTTAAGAAGTAACACTTTGGGGGCGCCTGGGTGGCTCAGTGGGTTAAGCATCTGACTCTTGATGTCAGCTCAGGTCATAATCTCAGGGTGGTGAGATCGAGCCCCATGCATTGGGCTCCATGTTCAGTGGGGAGTGTGCTTGGGAGTCTCCCCTCCCTTTGCCTTTCCCCCTGCTCTCTCTCTCTCTCAAATAAATAAGTAAATCTTAAAAAAAAAAAAAAAAAAAGTCACACTTTGGCCATGAAGGAAGTCAAGGGTAGGCCATGCTGTCCACATGGGGTTTGGAGTAAGTAAAGGTATGGGGGTGGGGGTGAGGCTGGGGTTGCTGCTGGGATCAGTGCTGGAGAGGACCCGAGCCAGGATGGAGCCCATAGAGGCAGAAAGGGGGTCAGATGGACAGGGTTTGAGGGCTTCCATCTGGAGATAGCTGTGGCCGACCCAGAGGAACTTGGGAGGGCAGAGGAACTGGGAGGTGGGCTGGGTTCTAGGCTGAAGGAACCTACATGGGCAAAAGCAGGTAGATGGCAATGAAATGGGGTGTTGTGGGGGCAGTCTCTGAGGTGGCTGTGGAGTGGGACCTCTGCCATATATGCAGAATTTCGCTGCCACTGAGGTTGCATGGTGGGGGGCAGTAAAGCCACAGACCAAGGACTGACATGATGCCCCCCCTCCTCCCCCCAGGAAGTGGACATAGGTCTGGCAGCAGATGTGGGAACGCTGCAGCGACTACCCAAAATCATCGGAAACCAGAGGTGGGTGGAGGAGCCAGGGAGGGGACCGCAGGGCGTGTCCTGGGCCCAGGATGACTGATCCCCTGATACACCCTGTCCTCTTGCAGTCTGGTCAACGAGCTGGCCTTCACTTGCCGCACCATGATGGCTGATGAGGCCCTGGGCAGTGGGCTGGTCAGGTAGGAGCCGCGGCCTGCGCTGGTTGACAGCTCAGGGGCAACCGGGGCCGGGCCCTTCGGGCGGGTGTGCATCCTCGCAGATTCCCAGGGCTTCCTCTCTCAGCGTGGTCAGTTCTTTAGTCTGCGCTCCAGTGGCTGCTCTGATTGTTTCATTTCACGGCGGGTTTTCTGCCTTCTACTGTGATTGGCCACTTATGCATCCATGGGAGCTACTAGGATCGTGGGATCGAGTCCCGGTGGGGCTCCCTGCTCAGCGGGGAGTCTGCTTCTCCCTCTCTCTCTGCCGCTACCCCCTGCTCATGCTCCCTCTCTCTCTCAAATAAAAATCTTTGAAAAAATCTTAAGAGAAACAGTCCTTTGTGGCCGGCTGCGTCTCCCCCTCCGCCCCACTTACGGGTTCCCCTCATCGGCAGCCGACTGTTCCCAGACAAGGAGGGCATGCTTGATGCGGTCTTCACCCTGGCGGCCGAGATTTCCACCAAGAGCCCCGTGGCAGTGCAGAGCACCAAGATCAACCTCATCTACTCGCGCAACCATCCTGTGACCGAGGGCCTCAACTACACGGTAAGGCTCTGCGGCCAACCAATCACAGCCCTCCTCTGATCCCATAGCAACCAGTCAGGTCCCAGCAGCCCTCTGCAGGCCTTGTCCTCTGCTTGGTGAGCTGCTGCTTCCTCCCTGCTTTTCATTGGTTCGACTCCAGCCTTCCCCTACCCTCTTCATCCAGGCGACCTGGAACATGAGCATGCTGCAAACCCAGGACATTATTAAGTCGGTCCAGGCTGCCATGGAGAAGAAGGAACTGAAGAGCGTCACCTTCTCCAAGCTCTGAGAGCCGCTGCGGCCCGGGGCCTGGCCTGGGGCCTGGACTTATCTTACCTCCCGCCCATTTCCTCATGGGCAGAGAAGGAGGATTAGTGAAGATGGTTGCCCGTGCCTTCTCCCTTGTTCTCCCTGTTTCTGACATTCTGACACTGATCCTTATGCCCAGGGACTGACTTATCATCACCCGAACAATAAAGCAACTTAATGAACCTGGTGTCTGTATTGGAAAGAGAGGGGAAGCCGAAAGGAGCCAGGATGGCCCTACGGGCTCCAAGCTCCAGATGGAGATTTGACCAATGGGAACGGGAAGGCGATGCCCATTCAGAGCTGGCAGTGGGCGGGCCAGGCCCGGCAGAACGCCTGGCGGGCAAGAGCAAGCAAAAGTCACATGGCTGCCTCTGGGCTGGAAGGCTCCAGATGGCCTCCCTGCTGCTCCAGACTCGGCGGTGTGCGCCCTGCCTGGCACCCACTCACTGCACAGCCTGCTGGATCTGACGCTGGCATCTGGCTAGAGTTCCATTGCTACCCAATCTTGGCCAACTGCCTCATTTTTCTTTTATTTCTTTTATTTTAAGTAGGCCCCACACACGAGGTGGGGCTTGAACTCACCACCCTGACGATAAGGGGGTCCCATGCTCTACCAACGGAGTCAGCCAGACATCCCTGCCTCATTTCTTTAAACTTAAGGTTTCGAAAAAAAAAAAAAAAAACCCTTACGGTTTTCATGTCCCTATATAATCCCAACCTCCTGGGTTTATGTTTGAAATGAGTGCAAGAAGCCAATGATCACTTCAGTGCCTTCTATACTCAAGTCCTGTTCTGAGCAATTATTAGCTTAGTGATTCCTTTCAAGGCTTCTAGGAGGTTGATACTATTAAAATCCCATTTTACAGATGGGCAAATGAGGAAATTGAGGTTGAGGCACTGACCCAAGACAAAACAGTCAGGAAGTGGCCCAGGAAAGATCTGAACCCCTAAGATCTGGCTCCAGAAATCATCTTTTAAGCCACTATAGATAGTCTAATGTACATGGGTCGGGCGTGCAATAAATGTAGGTGCTTTTGTAGTTCCTAGGGGTGTCCAGAGCACCCAGTTCCTCCCTCCTTTCACTTCCTAACGTTGCCCATCTGTCATGGGCCACTCCTGCAGTCTTGCCCGGCCCAACCTTCCTGATCTCACCCTCCCTCTGCTAACAAAGGTCTGGGTAGGCTTTTATGGGCTCTGATAAGGCTCTGGCAGGACCAAAGTTCACTAGCACTTCCTCTTTGTAGAAAGGCCTAAAGGAGGGGTCTCTGACCTGAGTCCCCCCAGCCCGGCCCAGACGATCCAGGTTCTGGCTGGTTACCAGTGAGGCTAGCAAGAGAAGGGACACAGAGGGTACCCTAGAAAAAGATGTGAGCCTGGGATACCCAGAAGAGGGACCCGTGGATCCTGCCCTGCCAGCCACTCCCTTTTCCTCAGGTATAAGAGCCACCCACTACCTGCCATCTACCACCATTCCCTGCTCCTGCATCTCTTCTCGCTGGACGAGCCACCAGCCCAGCCTCTCAAGATGGCCTATGTCCCTGCACCTGGCTACCAGCCCACCTACAATCCGGTGAGACAGTGACCCAGGATCTAACTGCAGGTTCTGGCTTAGCTCCACCCTGACCCCCACACACCAGTTACTCTCACCCTGATCCTCGGAGGCACCCACCCACCCTCAAATCTGATGTAGCCAATTCTGACTCTGAAGCTTGACTTAACTCCCACCCTGACATTCAGGCTATTTATTTCTATCCCTGACTCGGCTCTCTCCACCTTCCTGCTGACCCCTCACCCCTGATGTCCTCTCCCTTGCTAATGAGAGTGGGGGGACTTCTCCATGAGGGGTAAAGCCTCACCAGTTCCCTTCCACAGACTCTGCCCTACAACAAGCCCATCCCGGGAGGTCTCAGTGTGGGGATGTCTGTGTACATCCAAGGAATGACCAGTGAGCACATGAAGAGGTAAGACACTCCCCAACACCAGGCTAGGCTAGGAGGGGGCTGCAGAGAGGGGCTTCCACTCTAATGGAGGAGCCCTTCTCTTCCTCACCCTGCTCGGGAAGGGGGCTCTGGGCCACTGTACCCGATGGCCAAAGACCTGCTCTAGCCTGGGATGTCCGGGGCTTGGTGACCAGGAGCAGGGAGCATGGGGGCCTGGAAGAGGTCAGGGAGCAGCCCAGGAGTTGGGATGTTGGATTGGAATTGACGGGTGTGATAGCATGAATTCAGCCCGCAGGCTCAGAGCCGGGCCACCTCTGTCACTGACAGCTTTCCTGCTGGCTGGGAAAGCTCCTGTCCCTCTCCGTGCTTTACTTTCCCATCTGTAAGATGTGATTGTTTTGAGGATTGAATGTGTGAAACATGTAGTACTGGAAAGTAAGGACTAAAATAAGTCTTAGCATTTTTTTGTGGCCTTAAATTGGTGATGACAATTGAACTGAACTCAAGGCACTGTTGTTTTTTTATTCATTGTTTCTTTGCTCACTAAGTGCCCACTATGTGCCTAGGCACTGGGGGCAGAGCAGTCAGCAGGACAAAGACCTTTGCCCACGTGGAGCGAACATCCTAGTAGAGAGGAGAGAGGAAAGATAAAAATTACATATGCAGGGTCCAGTTGTTCTAAGCACTATGGAGACAGATAGGGAAAGGAGATGGGGACTAGATGTGGGGCAGGGCGGGGTGTGGCATTGTCCCTTTAAATAGAGGAGGAACGCCTCTTTGGAGAGGGAACACTTCAGCAAAGAACCAAAGGAGGGGAGAGAGGGAGCCAGTAGATAGAAAGAGTACAGCTAGTGCAAAGGCCCTGACGGGTGTGTGTGTTTGCCCAGTTGGAATAACTTCAGGGATGCTGGCATGAGGGTAGTGCTCTGACCCACGTGTTCACTGCGCACCCCCCTGGCTGCAGGTGGGGAGTGGCCTGTGGGGCAGGGAGGGAGCAGAGAGACCTGAACCCATACATGTAGTGTTCCTAGGACAGTGTCTGACCCGTGGTGAACGCAGAAATGCAGGAGTCTCAGTTGCAAACTTGGGAGAGGCTGGGGGCACGGCGGCCTGGTAGGGAAAGGGAGTGAGGGAACGCGCTGCGGTGGGAATCTGCCCCTGGACTTCAGGACCACTACCCACCCCTCCTCTCTTGGGTCAACAGTGCCTAATGTGTTGTCCCCTTTTTGTCGTGGCGCCCTACCCCCTTCCCGGCCAGTTCAGGGACCTGTTGTGGAACCTTGGAACAGGGGAGGTCAGAGAGGGCTTCCCGGAGGAGGGTCCTCTGTTGGGCAGGTGGGATCCTGCAGGGGGACGGCCCTTCCTGTCTCTTGGCCAGGTTCTGCGTGAACTTCGTGGCGGGGGCGCACCCGGGCTCCGACATTGCCTTCCACTTCAATCCCCGCTTTGATGGCTGGGACAAGGTGGTGTTCAACTCGCATCTGGGCGGCAAGTGGGGCAGCGAGGAGAAGAAGAGAAGCATGCCCTTCCGCAAGGGCACCCACTTCGAGCTGGTGTTCATGGTCCTGGCGGAGCACTACAAGGTCTGAGCTCGGGGCGGGGCCTCCGCTCGTCCCGCCCCGCCCCGCCCCGCCCTCTCCTTCCGCCCCGCCCCCTCCCCGCGGAGCCCTATGAGGTCTGAGCTCGGGGGCGGGGCCTCCGTTCGTCCCGCCCCCGCCCTGCTTCCCTCTCCCCGCCGCCCTTCCCACCTCCCTTTTTTCTTTTCCTCCTTTCCTGCCTGTGGAAACATTTTTCTCCAAAAAACAAAAATTTCCCCTCTGGTTTCTCATTCCTATTCCTCCACCATGAACGGCCAAGATTGCATGTGTCTCACCTTGTTCGTCTGTGTTCTTGCAAAATGTGTATTTTTGCTATTTTTTTTAAGCTTTTATTTATTTATTTGAGAGAGAGAAGGGGACGCCTGGTGGCTCAGCGGTTGGGCGCGTCTGCCTTCGGCTCAGGGCTCAGGGCATGGTCCTGGAGTACCCGGATCCAGTTCCTCATCGGGATTGCTGCATGGAGCCTGCTTCTCCCTCTGCCTGTGTCTCTGCCTCTTTCTTTCTTTGTCTCTCATGAATAATTAAATGAAATCTTAAAAAGAGAGAGAGAGAGAGCACCAGCTTGGGGGCGAGGGCAGAGAGAGAGAGAGAACCCAGCAGGGAGCCCAAGGTGAGGCTGGTCCCAGGACTGAGCCCAAGGTAGACACTTAACCGTCGCCTGAACCACCCAGGTGCCCTAATTTTCCTATTTCTTATGGCGAACTCTGAACACACAGAGAAGGAAACTTCGGTGGTCATGAGCTCCAGGTCCCTCTGCTGTCATCCTTCTCTCACATTTCCTCTCCCATCCAATTTAAGAGCAAATCCCAAATCTATCATGTTATTCATACATTTTTTTAAAATTTTTATTTATTTATGATAGTCACAGAGAGAGAGAGAGAGAGAGAGAGAGAGGCAGAGACACAGGCAGAGGGAGAAGCAGGCTCCGTGCACCGGGAGCCCGACGTGGGACTTGATCCCGGGGCTCCAGGATCGCGTCCTGGGCCAAAGGCAGGCACCAAACCGCTGCGCCACCCAGGGATCCCCTATTCATACATTTTTGATTTTCAGGAGCACAGTCACGATTCCATTACCACACCCAAAACATTGGCCATTCTTTTCAGGGCCCCCACATCTAGTCAGCGGTCCTGTCATCCCATAAATACCTTGATGTTTGTTGTTTTCTACACTTGGAATCAGGCTCTGGATAAGTCCCACATGTGATTGATTACTTCCATGCCAGCATTTTAAAAATGTGTGACCTGTGTACACAAGAGTGTGGGCCTCCTTGCATCCCTGCTCTGGGTTGCCTGCATCCCTGCCTCTGGTTCCCCTCAATGACACTCCAGCGACATCCTTGTATACATTCCCTTCTATGGGACGATGCAGGGAGTCTCCTGGAGGGGGATCATGGGGTTACAGAACCTACCTGGACTTTATTTGCCCTCATACAGGCACCCGGATTCCTGGCCTTAGCAGCAGAAGTTAACGTCATGGTTTGCAGTTGGACTGGCAAGGACTCAGGTCTGGGCTTTGCCACTTCCCAGTGTGTGACCTTGGGCTGGTCACTCTACCCCCTGGAGACTCTGCTTTCTTGAACAACGGGGACAATCCCCTGTCGCACCTTATGGGGCTAAAGAGAGAATCACCAGGTTGCTATCACCACGCAGTGTTTAGTGTGCGAGAGGCACCTAGGCCTTCGGAGCTGCTGTCAGCCCCGTGCCCGCTGCTCAGCACTTTAAGTAGAGCTGTAATGACACGAAAGACACTTAGATATGATAACAAGGCAAGACTCTACACAGGATTTCCAGAACGCCTTTGACATGCCTATCTGGGGGGGTTTAATGTTCCCAACAAGCCCAGACCAGAGCCAGCCTCCATTCTACAGATGGGGAAACAGAGGCTCAGGGAGGTGAAGTGACTTATCTGAGGCCAGACAACCAACACATCAGAGCCAGACTCAGCCCTAACCTATTTGGTGCCCAAACCAGGACTCAGACTTGATTCTTTCCTTACTGCTATCCTGACTAATATCTCCATTCTCTTCCGTCCTCCAATCTGTGAGCTTTTTTTTTTTTAAGATTTTATTTATTTATTCATGAGAGACACAGAGAGAGAGAGGCAGAGACAGGGGCAGAGGGAGAAGCAGGCTCCCTATGGGGAGCCCAATCTGGGACTTGATCCCAGAACACAGGGATCACGACCTGAGCTAAAGGCTCAACCACTGAGCCACCCAGGTGCCCCAGACTCCAAGATTCCTGACTGTGGCCATCCAGCTCACCTCCAAGACTGGACTCCAAGTTAAAATGATCACTGCTCCCTACTTCCTGTTTCTGCCTTCCCAAGGTCACGGGTGCTGATTCTACCCTTTCCTCTGCCCTCCAGGTGGTCGTAAATGGAAATCCCTTCTATGAGTTCGGGCACCGGCTGCCCCTACAGCTGGTCACCCACCTGCAAGTGGAAGGGGACGTGGAGCTTCAATCAATCAATTTCATTGGCGGCACCCAGCCCCTGGGCCAGGTGTGTGGTGTCTCCCTCCCTGTGTGCCCTCTCCCCATCTTTATTCATTCCCACCCTCATCTATTTCCGGGGCACCTGCTCAGGGGCAGCCCCTTTGCTAGCTGGGCCACAGACCTCAAGGCAACCAACAGTCCACTCGGAAGGCAGACATTCCACCGGACGGTGTTGGGTGCAAGCGGTTAGGGCAGGTTTGGGGAGTCTAAAGGGAGGGCTTCCTGGAGGAGGAGGAAGGCGGAAAGCTGAGTCAGGAGGCATAGATCAGAATGCTTGAAAGTCACAGGGACAGCAGATGAGTTCATGAGAAGTTGCCTCACCTAATCACCGAGAAACCCACTTCAACTCGCAATGAGCTCCCGCTCCACACCCACGGGCAGAAAGGCACACGATACCCACTGCTGGCGAGGCTGGGGGCCAGCCACCCGCCCCTGGAAATGACCAGGTGGCCTCTGTGACCGCTGGGCAGACATGCACCTGGCCACCTAGGAACCCCACTCCCAGGCCCTCAGTGGACAGCCAGCCACCAGAACAGCCCCGGGAGCACTTAGAGATGCCCAAACCCCGGACTCCCACCCTGTCCTTCAGCTGAGGGCTCTACACCCCCCAACCTGTAAGACCCCCACCTTCATGGACAGGGGAGCCCTCTGATGGTCCTAGGCGCCCCGGTTTATAGATTTGGGAACCAAGTTTAAATAACTTGCCGCAGGTCACAGAGCTGGCACGTGGCAGAGCCACAGATCACACACAAGCGGGGTGTGTGTGTGTGTGCGCTCAGCAGGGCCCCTCTGCCTCCCAGATGAAGGAACAGCAGGAATGTCTTCATCCGACAGGAGGCCCCGGGGCCCACGGGTGCTCACCTGTACTATTGACACTCATCCTCACCCAGCATTTGTTTTTGTTTTTGTTTTAAGATTATTTATTTATTTATTCATGATAGACATAGAGAGAGAGACACAGCAGAGGGAGAAGCAGGCTCCATGCCGGGAACCCGACGTGGAACTCGATCCCGGGACTCTAGGATCACGCCCTGGGCCAAAGGCAGGCGTTGAACCGCTGAGCCACCCAGGGATCCCCCTCATCCAGCATTTGGACGAGAGAAAGGACAATAAGGCTTTTTTTTTTTTTTAAGATTTTATTTATTTATGAGAGACACAGAGAGAGAGAGGGGCAGAGACACAGGCAGAGGGAGAAGCAGGCTCCATGCAGGGAGGCCGAGGGGGGAATCAATCCCGGGACTCCGGGATCATGACCTGAGCCAAAGGCAGATGCTCAACCGCTGAGCCACCCAGGCATCCCACAATAAGTCTATTTTTGAAGGGCCTTCAGAACAGCAGGCTGAAAATAAAAGTCAAGGCAGAAAGGCGGCTCTCAGTGATGTAGGGCTGGGCCTTCCTGCTGCGCCTGCGTGGAGGTGCGGACAAGAGAGACCCAGAGACAGACAGGGAGATGGAGCCTGAGGCCCAGGATCAGCGCCCCATGCAGGCTGAGAGCCTGAGGCCAACGGGGGAGAGACAGGGCTCCCCAGAGCCCCAGCGGCGAGCACCCAGGGTGCTGAGCAGGGCTGCCTGTGGTGTGGGCTGGGGAGATGTTCTGAGGAGCACAGGCTTTATAGAAGCTTCCAGGTGGAGGGACAGCAGGGAGAGGGGCCATGAGGGGCTCCCTGGCAGGAGGAAGCAGGATAAGGGAGAGTACAAGAATAGCATTTGCCAGGCTTGCCCCAAAGGGGTGGAGTGAGTGTCACCGCGCACTGGAGTTCTCTAAACATGGCAAGTTCAGCTCCATTAATAAGCCACCTAGTGCCGCTCTTTGACGTCAGAGTTCCCTTAGATGGTGGTGGTGGGGCTACCCTGGGCAGGCATCCTTGACACCCTCCAGGCCCTAGTTTGGGGTCTCCCTCATTGCCTGCCTGTCTTCATACATTGCCTTTGTGTCCACAGACACACATGGGAATTCTGGCTTACCCAGGAAGTCCCTACTGATGGCTGAGGGGTTTCTCCTTGTGGCAGGGGTTTGGTGGTGTGAGGAGGTCTTGGGGCAGCAGAAGGACCCCCAGACTCCCTCATCATTCGTGCCTTCCATCCGTCTGTGTAGGGTCCTGGACACACCCAGCAGCAGCCAAGTAGCCTGCCTGTAAGTGGGAAGGTTGTGGGGCCACCTGGTGGGGTGGGGGTAGTGAGAAGTGGGACGGAGTCAAGGAGGTTGGGCCCCAGTCGTACCAGTCCAGCACCCAGAGATATGCCTGCATGTTGTTGGTGTGCCGTAAATATGTGTCGAATGTTACAGAGTAATCTCTCTCCTTCCTCACTTCACAGACCATGGAGGGACCCCCAGTCTTCAACCCGGTAAAGTGTCCTATGGGGCTTAGGGATCTGTGGTGGGTAGTTTGTGGGGAAGTGGGAACCAATGGGGGGTGGGGTTGGGAGGTAGTGAGAGGGTGGAGTTGGTGGCCAGAGCAGGGAGGGGATGGAGATTGGGGACATTTCTTAGGAGTGGGCATTGATCTCTGAAAATGTGTCCCTGCCTGGGTTCTGGTGACCTGAGGATGATAGGACCTCATGTTCTCTTCCCCCAGCCCGTGCCATTTAGGAAGAGATTGCAAGGAGGGCTTACAGTCCGAAGAACAGTCATAATCAAGGGCTTCGTACCCTTCACAAGCAAAAGGTACCCAATCTAGACCAAGGTGGGAGTCCTCAGCCCCCTTCCTCCCTCAGACCCAGGAGTCTGGGCCCCCATCACCTCCCTGGGAACCAGTGCTGACCCCCCATCTGAGTCCCACCTCCTTCACTCTCTGCCTTCAGCTTTGTCATCAACTTCATGGTGGAATCCTCCGGGGACCTGGCTCTGCACATTAACCCTCGTCTGACCGAGGGTCTTGTGGTTCGGAACAGCTGTCTGAAAGGTTCCTGGGGATCTGAGGACAGGAAGCTCTCCTACAACCCATTTAGTCCTGGGCAATTCTTTGATGTGAGTCTGGGGTCTCCTTCCCACCCCCCTTCTCTCCAGAGCCTCTGTCCCGGCCCTGGCCTCAAGCCTGCCCTCTCCCTGCAGCTGTCCATTCGCTGTGGCACGGATCGTTTCAAGGTTTACGCCAACGGCCAGCATCTCTTTGACTTTTCCCATCGCCTTTCGGCCCTCCAGAACGTGGACATGCTGGAGATTAAGGGTGATGTCACCTTGTCCTATATCCAAGTCTAACCTATTCCCAGGGCCATAACCCTTGGGAACACAGAGGGAAAGATTCCACAGAACTCCTTCCTAAGGCCCTAATAAAATGCCTGTGGGTGTCTCATGAGTGTCCATGACTCCATTCACCTCCCTCACTGTTCCTTCCTTCCTTGATTTGGTCATACGCTGTCCATTCAGCCATCCAATCATCTGTGCATCCATCCTCCCATCACAATAAATCTAGGAATATCTGAGACACAGATCTTGGGTTTTATGTGTATCAGCTCATTCAGTCCTCACAAAAACACCAGGAGATAGGAACTATTATTATCATCCCTCTGGAAAAGATGAGGAAACAGGCAAATTAAAATAAGGCAAATCACCCACCAGTGGCAAAATGAGGATTCAAATCAAGGTGGTCTGGCTCCACACTTACTTAATTGTTCTACAGCCCATTTTCCCATCCATACATGCACCCAGCTTTCCATTCATCCATTTCAAAGCCCATTAAACTCTCCAAACATCCATCCAAGCATATGTTCATTCATCCATCTAAACATCCAACCAGGGGCACCTGGCTGGCTTGGTTGGTGGAGTGTGCAACCCTTGAGTATAGAGATTAGTTATTTTTTTAATCTAAAACATAAAAAAAATAAAAGGGACTCCTGGGTGGCTCAGCAGTTGAGCATCTGCCTTGGCTCAGGGCATGATCCCTATCCAGGGATCGAGTCCCGCATTGGGCTCTCTGTGAGGAGCCTGCTGCTCCTTCTGCCTATGTCTCTGCTTTTCTCTGTGTTCCTCGTGAATAAATAAATAAAATCTTTTTAAAAATATCCACTGTCCATCCATTCACCTGTGTATCTAGCTCTCCACCTATCCAGCTATTTGTCCATCCGTTTGCCATCCAACCCTTCAACTATTCATCTGGCCATCCATCCATTCAAATATCTAACCATGAGATGCCTAGGTGGCTCAGCAGTTGAGCATCTGCCTTTGGCTCAGGGCATGATCCTGGACATTGGGCTTCCTGCAGGGAGCCTACTTCTCCCTCTGCCTGTGTCTCTGCCTCTCTCTCTCATGAATGAATAAATAAAATCTTAAAAACAACAATAAAAACAAATATCTAACCATTCATGTATTTATTCATCCATCTGTCTTTCCATTCAGCTGTCCTTACATCCAGCTCTCAATCACGTATTCATCTCTTCATTCTTCCATTTGTCCATGCAAATCTGTCTTCCGTCATATCCATCCATCCCTCCTCCATGTGCCCATTCATCCCTCTGTTCAGCCATCCATTTCTTTATTCTCTATCCTGTCATCCATCCATCTCTTTAGGAACTACATTTCCATCCATTTCCAACTGTCTGTGCATTTATCTCTCATTTCATCTCTCCCTCCTTCCATAACCGTCTGCCATCCATTCAATTGTCTTCTTACAATGTCACTCTTTTTAAGATTTTATTTATTTATTCATGAAAGACAGAGAGAGAGAGGCAGAGACACAGGCAGAGGGAGAAGCAGGCTCCATGCAGGGAACCCAATATGGGACTTGATCCCCAGACTCCGGGATCAGGCCCTGAGCCAAAGGCAGACGCTCGACCACTGGGCGACCCAGGCCTCCCATAGTCATTCTTGGTTGATTTAATCATGTGTTGATTTACTTACACTTTCATTCACCCATTCATTCATTTCTTTATTATTCACTCACTCACTTACTTATTCACATAGCCATTATTCAGGCATTTCTCGGTGTCTATTCCTTCCTTCCTTCCTTCCTTCCTTCCTTCCTTCATTCATTCAGTTTATTTTCTCATTTATTCTTCTAATCTAATTCTCAAACTTGGATGTCATCTGGGGAGCTTTTAAAAAATATTGATACCTGACCCCAACCCAGACCATTATTAAGTTAAGCCATATAAATATGCCATTTTTTTGTAGACTAAAAGTCACTAATTTCATATGTTCTAGCCTCGTAATTCAGTAGTGGGTCCTAGGGATCAATATTTTTCTTTTTTTTTTTTTTATTTATGATAGTAACACAGAGAGAGAGAGATAGAGAAGCAGAGACACAGAGAAAGAAGCAGGCTCCACGCACCGGGAGCCCGACGTGGGATTCGATCCCGGGGCTCCAGGATCGCGCCCTGGGCCAAAGGCAGGCGCCAAACCGCTGCGCCACCCAGGGATCCCCAATATTTTTCTTAAACTCTCCAGATGATTCTGCCTCTTTGGCAAACTCTGGTCAAGGAAGTACTGTAGGCCCTCAGACATGGAATGGATGCTGAGGAGATTGGGAAAGGATGAGGGCTGACCTGGGCAGCCTCCAGTCTGAGATGTTCTTTTCCTCCTTCTTGGCCACACGGGAGGGGAGACTACTCCCTTTTGCCCCTGGGATGGCAGTGGAGAGACAAATCAGTAGCATAGCCTGGAGGGGCCAGCCTGGAGCTCCTCCCAGAAAAGCTGGAGGGGTCATGTTTAGTTTTCTATCACTGCTGCAACATGTTTGAAGAAATAATGGCTGCAAACTTATCAAAAACTCATGAAAGGCATTAATTTATAGATCCAAGAAGCTCAATGAACTACAAGTAGGATAGACACAAAGAGATCACACCTAGATCCATCATAGACAAAACTGCTGGAATAAAAGAAAAGACACAGAAAATCTTGAAAGCAGGAAGTGAAAAACAGCTCATCACATAGAGGGGAACAGCAGTACAATTAACAGCTAACTTTTGTAAAAACAGTGAAGGTCAGAAAGTAATTGAATGATTTAGTCAAAGTGCTGCTAAGAAAAATAAAACTGTTAACAAAAAATTCTATATTCAACAAAATGTATTTCAAAATGAAAGCAAAATAAAGACATTCTCAGGTGAACAAAAGCTGCGAATTCATGGCTAGTAGAACTGCTCTCTAGGAAGTCATTCACACCAAAAGAAACTGACCTCAAGCAAAAACTTAAATCCACAGGAAGAAACAAAGAGCCTCAGGAAGTACAAGTATGTAGATAAATATTTTTTAAGTCAATAAATATATTTTTCTGTTTACTTATTTTTTATTTCTTTATAGTTTTTGGTTTATTTTTCTTAGTAATCTCTACATCCAATGTGGGGCTCCAACTCATGACCCCAAGATCAAGAGTTGCATGCATGTTCTTCTGACTGAGGCAGCCAGGTGCTCCTCTTCTGATTTCTTTTAAAAAAGATTGTATAAAACTAAGACTATAATACTATGTTGTAGACTATCTCACATATCTGTATGTGATATATTTGAAAATAACAGCATACAGTGGGGTGGGAAATAGAGATATATGGAGCAAAGGTCCTATATTCCACTGGAATTAAGGCAGTATTAACTTAAATTTGACTGTGGTAAGTGGGACGCCTGGCTGGCTCAGTCAGTAAAACATGCAACTTGATCTTGGGGATGTGAGTTTGAGCCCCACGCTGGGTGCAGAGATTACTTAAAAATGAAATCTTTAACCTGAAAAAAAATGAAATCTTTATTTTTTATTTTTAAAGAAATTTTTTTGAAATCTTTATTTTTTATTTTTTATTTTTTATTTTTTTTAATTTTTATTTATTTTATGATAGTCACACACACACACAGAGAGAGAGAGAGAGGCAGAGACACAGGCAGAGGGAGAAGCAGGCTCCAGGCACCGGGAGCCCGACGTGGGATTCGATCCGGGGTCTCCAGAATCGCGCCCTGGGCCAAAGGCAGGCACCAAACCGCTGCGCCACCCAGGGATCCCAGAAATCTTTATTTTTTAAATAAATTCTGTATTTTTAAAAATAAAACGTTTATAAATAAATAAATAAATAAATAAATAAATAAAGTTGACTGTGATAAGTCCAGATGTGTATTGTAACCCTTGGATGACCACTTAAAAACCAGCTTTCAAAAAAAATACTGCTAAAAAAAATCAGTAGAGGAATTTAAATTGTTCACTGAAAATTGTTTAACACCAAAGAAGATAGTGAAGGATTTTTTTTTTTAAAGATTTTATCCATCCATTCATGAGAGACACAGAGAGAGACAGAGACATAGGCAGAGGGAGAAGCAGGTTCCCTGCAGGAAGCCTGATGCGGAACTCGATCCCAGGACCCCAGGATCATGCCCTGAGCCAAAGGCTGACACTCAACTACTGACCCACTCAGGCTCCTGTTAGTGAAGGATTAACAGAGTAAAAACAAATAGCAAAAAAGGTAACCAGGAAGCCAATTATATCAATGATTACATCAAATGTAAATGAAATAAACATTCCAATCAAAAGGCAGAGACTGTTGCCATAGTCGGCAACCAAGGTGGCCTCCAAGGGTGCTCACACCCCTGAGAACTCCCCTCCTAAGCTGTACCTGGCTTGATGTGTGTAACTAACAATACGGCAGAAAGTTAGATTGTAAGAGACACTTCCGCTTCTCTCACACCTGGATCGCTCCTCTTGGAGGAGTCTCACTTCTGGAACAGTCGTGTGTAATGGCTTATGTGACAAGTAGCTGAAAACTGCTGCCAACAGCCATGTGTGTGAGCCTCCCCTGAGGATGCTCCACTACTCCGAGTCAAGCCTTCTGCGCAGAGATTGCAAACCTTTTCTGTAAGGGCCACCATGGTGATCTAGGGATCTAGCCTCCACCACAGTCACTGAACTCCACTGAAGAGGCCCAAAAGCCGCCACTAGGCAGTACGGAAATGCAAAAGCCTGGCTGTGTTCCCATAAAACTTGAGTTATGGACACTGAAATTTGAATTTCATATAAATTTTAGTATTATGAAATATTCTTTTTATTGTTTTCAGCTATTTAAAAATGTACGACCTATTAGCCTGTGAGCCATACCCAATCAGGCAACGAGTGGGTTTGGCCACAGCCAGAGTTTTTGAAAGCTTTTTTCAGATGACTGCAACTCCACAGACAGCTTGAATGTAACTCTGTGGAAAAATCAAAGCCACAACCACCTCGGTGAGCCCCTCCTGGATCCTAACTTCAGAAACTGTGTAAGATCGTAAAAATTTTATGGTACTAAGTTATTGGGTAATTGATTATGAAGCAATCCATTAGTAACATATCATCAGACTGGATTAGAAAGCAAGATTCAAGTGAATGCTGTCCATAAAAGACACACTTTAGATCTTAGACACCAATAAGCTGAAAGTAAAAGGATGAGAAAAGATAAACCATGGAGGCACCTGGCTGGCTTAGTCTGAGAGGTGTGGGACTCTTGATCTTAGGGTCATGAGTCTGAGCCCCATGTCAGGTGTAGGCATTACTTAAAAAAAAAAAAAAGGAGATATACCATACCAACAATAACCGTAAGAGAGTAAGAAGGACAAAATTACTATCAGACACAATAGATGTTAAAAGATGTATCTCTCATGAATAAGTAAATAAAATCTTTAAAATGGGGATGGGCGCCTGGGTGGCTTGGTGGTTGAGTGTGTGTGTTTGGCTCAGGTCATCATGCCGGGGTCCTGGGATCAAGCATCCGACTCTCAGCATCGGTTCAGGTCATGATGTCATAGTGGAAGGATCCATCCAGAGTCAGGCTTATGCTCAGCACAGAGTCTGCTTCAGATTTTCTCTCCCTCTCCCTCCCCTGTTGCCTCTATCCTGGCTTTCCCATGGGCTTGCTCTCTCTCTCTCTCTCTCTCTCTCAAATATATAAATAAATAAAATATTTTAAAAAACAAAAATAATAAATTGCAGTGTCTGGCAGGCTCAGTAAGTAGAGCACGTGACTCTTGATCTCAGGGTCATGAGTTCAAGCTCCATAACAGGCATGGAGCCTATTTAAAAAAAGAGAAAGAATGAAATTGTACCAGAGACAAAGAGGGACATTTCATAGTGATAAAATGGACAATACATCACATATATACACACATATAATAAATATATCAAATATATGTATCAAGTAAAAATGTATACTAACAGATCCCAAGGAACACCCGGGTGGCTCAGTGGTTGCGCATCTGCCTTTGGCTCAGGTCGTGATTCCCAGGTCCTGAGATCAAGTCCCACATCGGGCTCACTGCAGGGAGCCTGCTTCTCCCTCTGCCTATATCTCTGCCCCTTTCTCTGTGTGTCTCTCTTGAATAAATTTTTAAAATCTTTAATAAAAAAAATAAACCCCTGGGAAATCAGGTTTCATTTTGTCTTCTCAAGTATGCTCCACACCCAGCATGGAGCCCAACTCAGGGCTTGAACCCATCACCCTGAGATCCAGACCTGAGCCAAGACCAAGAGTTAGACACTTAACTGATGGAGCCACCCAGGCACCCCATTTAAAAATATATATTTTATTTACTTATTCATGAGAGACACAGAGAGAGAGGCAGAGACACAGGCAGAGGGAGAAGCAGCCTCGCAGCAGGGAGCCCGATATGGACTCGATCCCAGGACTCCAGGATCACGCCCTGAGCCAAAGGCAGGAGCTCAACCACGGAGCCACCCAGGTGCCCCATTTTTTGGATTAATTTTATTAAGGTTGTTTTTATTTATTTTTTTAATTTTTATTTATTTATTTATGATAGTCACAGGGAGAGAGAGAGGCAGAGACACAGGCAGAGGGAGAAGCAGGCTCCATGCACTGGGAGCCCGATGTGGGATTCGATTCCGGGTCTCCAGGATCGCGCCCCAGGCTAAAGGCAGGCGCCAAACCACTGCACCACCCAGGGATCCCTTAAGGTTGTTTTTAATATCAATTTTCTTTATAATACACACAATAATAAAATTCAGCCTCTCTAGGTGTATAGTCCATGAATTTTGACAAAACATATAGTTGCATGACCCCTTGGTCATACAGTCAAGGCACAGAATGTGTCCCTCATCCTCTTTCCCAAGCACACCCTTGGAACCTGGCAGCCAGTGATCGGCTCTCTATTCTCATTACAACGTAGTTTCACCTGCTCTAAAATTTTGTATAAAAATACTTTTTTTTTTGTCATATGAACCGTTGTAAAGCAATTTTTCTTCCTACACGCATTTGAGAATGAGTCGATAACATGCTTCCTTATCACCTTCAAATACCTGATTGTGTATTTTCTACAAACAAGAACATTCTGGGGATCCCTGGGTGGCTCAGCAGTTTGGTGCCTGCCTTTGGCCCAGGGCGTGATCCTGGAGTCCTGGGATCGGGTCACGTGTCGGACTCCTGGCATGGAGCCCGCTTCTCCCTCTGCCTCTCTCTCTCTCTGTTTGTCATAAATAAATAAATAAATAAATAAATAAATAAATAAATAAATAAATCTTAAAAAAAAAAAAAAGAACATTCTGTTTGCTGCAAGACAAAGGTGAATATCAAGAAAATGGGCAGCCCGGGTGGCTCAGTGGTTTAGTGCCGTCTTTGGCTGGGGCCTCATCCTGGAGACCCCGGAAGGTCCACGTTGGGCTCCCTGCAGGGAGCCTGCTTGTGTCTCTGCCTCTCTCTCTCTCTGTCTAATGAATAAATAAATGAAAGCTTAAAAAAAAAAAAAATCAAGTTATTAACAGGGGTGCCTGGGTGGCTCAGTTGGTTAAGCATCTGATTTTGGATCTGAGTTTCAGGCCTTGACCTCAGGTTTCTGAGTTCAACCCAGCATTGGGCTCCAAACTGGGTGTGGAGCCTACTTAAAATGTTGAAGTTTCATAAAATAAAAAAAAAAAAAAGTTTAAAAATTAACAGGGGAGCGCCTGGGTGGCTCAGGCCCTTAAGCATCTGCCTTCCGCTCAAGTCATGGTCTCAGGGTCCTGGGATCAAGTGGTGAGCTCGGCTCGGCTCAGCTAGGACCCTGCCTCTCCCTCTCCCTCTGTCCCTCCCCCCACCTCTCATGGTCGCTTGCTCTCTCTCTCAAATAAATAAATGAATGAATGAATGAATGAATGAATGAATGAATGAATAAATAAATAAATAAAATCTTTGATAGAGGATAGATAGATAAAATTAGCTGGGATGGATCACTACGGTCTAATCTAAAAACCCCAACTACCTTTACCAGTTGTGCCAATAAATGCTCTTCCTTTCCACCAATTACTTCTGAAATTTGTTCCCTAGGAATGTGTCATATCTATAAAATGTGTAGTTAATTACAAGTACTTGAACGGGCAAATAAAAATAAACACTAAGTCATTCAACAATGACCTCCCTAGTTCCATGAGGGAATTCAGACTTTCTCTGGTCCACCCGGCGAGAGGGATCCCTTCCTTACAGGGCCCACCCAGAGACACTGTCTCAAGGGCTCGGGGAACGGGTGCTTTTCCCTAAAGGATCTCCAGGGGCAGACGCGGGATCCTGAAAAGACTCAGATCCTACGCTCGCTCCGCTTCATGTGCGGTCGGGCGCGGTCAGAACCAGGGCGCCGGTGGTCGCGAGGCCGGCTCCGCCCGGGCGGCCCGGGGATGGGAGGTCCGGCTGCCGGCGCGGGCTCCGGGCCAGAGCGTCTCTCCGGGACGTGGCTCCCGACGGGCCGGCGCGGACCCCAGGCCACCGCCCGGAGAGGGAGGGAAATCGGCGCCGCCCGCACCCGGGTTGGGCTCCGTCCACAGCGGGGGACGCGGCCAGTGCGGGCGCGGACGCAGCCGCCGCCTGCGCTCGGAAACCGCCTGGCGGGGGGCGACGGCGTCTGCGCGGGGGGGCCCCCACCCCGCCCCCGAGGGCGCTCGGGCAGAGCCAGGGCCCGGCCGCCCAGGCCCCAGAAGGAGGGAGGGTGCGAACGGGGCGGGGCCCGCGGCGGGGCCCGGGGCCTGGACGCCGCCGTGTCTCCGTCGGCGCGGCGGGGAGAGGCGGCTCCGTGCGCGTCTGCCCCGCGGCGCCCCCTCGGCCCCCGCCCCCCCGCGCCAGCCGCCGGCCGGCACCCGAGGGGCAGCGGGCGCACAGCCGGCGGGGAGGCAGGCCGCCGGGAGCCCGTCGGGGCGCAGCGCCCGTCTCCGCCCGCGGGGGTCGCGGGGGCCGGGCGAGCGGGCGCTCGTGCCCCGTCGGGCCCGCCTGGGCGCGCTCCAGCCCCCGCGGCACCCCCCGCACTCCCGCCCGGCCGCTCCGCCAAGTGCGGCGGGAAGACGCGCCCGACACGCCCGCCCGGATCGCGGCTCCCGACGCCTTCGGCCCTCGAGCCCGCTTTCCGCGTGGACGCGCAGGGGACACACACGCAGACGAGGCGCACACGCGCGGACGCTTTATTTGCGCTTTATTTGCCTGCGCGGGCTCAGAAGACGCTCACGGACTCGAGCTGCAGGTCCCCGCCCACCTCCAGGAGGCGCACGCGCGCCGGCGGGATCCGGTAGCGGAAGTGGTGGTACTCGGAGTCGCCGACCACCGCCTGCGGGCGAGGGGCCGCGCTGCAGGGCCGCGCTGCAGGGCCGCGCCGTGACCCGCCCCCCCGCCGGGCTCCCGGGGCCGGGGGGGACACGCGCCTCGGGCTCGTCGCCCCCCGCCCTGGGCCCTGCCCCGCTAGGGGACCCCCGCCCTGGGCACCGGGCCTCGCTCGCGGCTCCGTGCGCTGCCACACCCCTGCCCGCGGACACCAGTGCGGAGGCGCTGGGGGAGGGGAGGGGAGGGGGGAGGGGAGGGGGAGGGAGAGGGGAGGGGAGGGGGCCCACCCCGCGCTGCCGGCTGCGCTCCCACCTCCGCCGGCTGCCGCCCCGGCTTCCCTGCGGGCGGGGCCTGGGCCTGGGCCTGGGCCTGGGCCTGGGGGGCCCGCCTGGGGGAGCGGGGACCCACCTTGAAGCCTTCCTCCGTGGCGATGAGGATCACGTCGAAGGGCTGCCCGCGCTGGAAGGGAACGCCCGTGCCTCGCTCCTCGCGGCCCCAGGCGCCCTGCTCCAGGGTGTTGAAGACCACGGTGGACTCGTCCAGGCGGGGATTGAAATGCAGCGCAGCCTCACTCCCCGGGGCCTCGCCGCACAGCAGGTTCACGTAGAACCTGGGGGGTGGGGGGGGAGGGGGTGCGGAAGGACCTCGGGGGCTCGGGCCTGGCTCCCCTTTACCAGAGCACGGACCAATATAGAGACCTGGAGCGGCGCACACCACAGGGAGGGCTGTAGACTGCGGCCAGGAACCCAGATTCCAGGGGACCCAGAAACTTCTAGGTGGACACATCCACCACACGAGGGTCACCGTGGGATGGCCTGGGTCGCCCTCGATTTCCAAAGCCTCTGAGAGTTGCCCTGAGTCATGGTGCCAATGGCCAGGGTGCTCCCCATTCCTACACTATCCCCTTTCCTACAAGGCTGGGAAGAATACCATGGACCCCATCATTCCTGGTTTCCCCAAACTCCTACTGTAGCCGGACCCCGATGTCACAGGGCTGACTGCCTGGGTTTCCCAGATGCCCCAGGCACACCCCGCCCCCCATCACAGGACATATTTGCAGAGTTCCTGGGGATTCCGGCTGGGAGGCAGAGGACTACAGGCAGGAACCCTGAGATTGCCCTGGAACCCCAGTTTCCTAGGGACACACGGGCACCCCAGCTTGTACACAGCCATGGGACACAGAGTGAAGACATGAGATTCCAGAAAGTCAGCCAAGGTCTGGGGATTCCAAGCCCCTGGGGGACAAAGGTGGCCCTGGCATCCTCGGGTCTGGGCTGGAAAGTGTCGGGGTGAGCTGAGCCTGGACAACTCCCACCCCGACTGCTGGGCCCCGGCTCTGGCTCTCACCTGCCAGCCTTGTTCGGGACCACACCCCGAATCCTCATCACAGTGCCGACTCGGATGCCCTCGGGCAGCAGGGTCTTGTGGGGCACGTTCTGCAGGAGCAGCGGCGGGGGGCGGGGGTCCGAGGGGAGCAGGGGTGCAGGGGAGAGATGCACATGGGTCACCCCAGGGAGCAAGCGACCAGGACCCCGATCAGCACAATCAGGGAGAAGAAAGGCCCCAGAGAGAAAGGGGAGAGGCCGAGGCAGCGGCAGATGTGGAGAGAGACACGGGATCAGCGGAGACAGGGGGACCCGGAGGGAGCCTCCAGGGGCACTGGGAGCCCTGGGGCAGGCTGGGTCAACCCAAGAGCCACAGCCCAGGCTCTTCAAGCACCCCTGGCACCCGCTTTCTCCTTCCCAACAGGCCACCTCAGGCGGGCCCAGCCCCTGCCCTAGTCCGGTGGGGCCTTGGGTCCAAGCCCCCCCAGCCCCCCAAGCCCCCCGGCCCCGGGGCACTCACAGAGCTCCCTGCCATGGCTGGGGCGCGGGGACAGGCAATGGTGCTGCTGGGGGTGGCTGCTGGGACCTCATATGAGGTGGGGTGTGGCAGGCCTGGCTGACTCATCCCCCCCCCTTTCCACGCCCACCGCCCACACCTGGCACAGACCCTGGCCCCGGGGCCACCTGGCCCAGCACCCTGTCTGTGGGGACCAGGATTCCCCTCACTCCCCGCTCCTTTGAGCTAATGGTCCTAATGACAGATCCCAGGGAACCACCAGGGCCAGAGGGGACCCGGGGAGCCCCGGTCCAGGCAGCCCCCTTCCTGCAGCTTGGCAGCCAGAAGAGAGTATTTTGCCCATTTTGTCTGGGGAGACTTGGCCCGAGGGGCCGCGCCGGGGCGGGGGCTGGAAGCGCGGGGCCCCCTCCCAGGCTGGACCTCCCGCCCAGGGCTGGGCTGCACCCCGACAGGCCGCCTCAGCCCCCCCTCCCCAGAATCCTGACCCTCGCACCGACAGCCACAGGACTGGGGCTCCCAGGGGCCGGGGCTTCGCCTGAGGGGCGCCTGGGGCCCGGGGGCCCAGAGCAGAGGCCCGCACCCAGGAAGTGCTCCCGGAACGTGGTCCAACGAAGGAGTCAGACTTGCCAACTGGGGCCACTGCCCAGCGTCGGGGCGCGCCTGCGCGCTCGGGACCCCTGCGCTCAGCCCGGCCTCAGGGGCATCGGCGCCCCCATTCCACACACAAGGAGCCGGGCTCAGAGGGGGAGGCTGATGCCCAGAGGCCCTGGCCCGGCCTCCGCCGTCCCTGTGGCCCTGCCTTCCCTCGGCCCGGGCAGTGTCTGTCTTGTGCCTCAGTCCCCAAGGGTGCGCTGGGCCCCAGCCCCGGCCGCGCTTCTGGCTCCCACTGCCTCCCCCAGGTGTCCCTGTCTGTCCCTCCCTCCAGAGTCCAGAGCTCTGTCCTGTTCCACCTCCCAGGGCTGCCCGCACTCTCCCAGCCAGCCAGCTCCCAGGGGCAGGGACGGCAGGGGACGGCTGTCCTAGGCCGCCCACACCCAGACCCAGGAGGATGACAGCAGCCTGGGACCCTCCACCCCAGCCCACTGCCGGCCCCACAGCCCGAGCCCCACAGGAGCACTCCAGGATAGGAAGGGTGGGGTCAGGGGAAGGAGCTGACAGATGGTTCTGGAAGGCAGGGAAGAGGCAGGTGGGGCAGCTGAGCAGAAACCCCTCCTAGCAGCCAGCAGCCCTCCTCCCCACCTGCACCACCCTGCTCCCAGCTCCCACTCCTGCCCCACCCCGCAGAGGCAGGAGGCCTGGGGCAGGGAACTCAATGGAAACTCTGGGTGGTGACAGCAGACCCAGAACCTGATCCACCGCCCCACTGTCCCCCAGGCCTCCCAGACTCTCCATCCTCCCACCACGCGAGGCACCCAGGTGGGGCACAGCTTGGGAGCCAGGGCCTCGGAGAAGGAGGCCGCGAGTACTTGTGTTTGGGGGGACCCACAAGCACCCCCAGTTTACAGGGGAGCAAACTGAGGCCCAGAGAGGGGCAGCCTCTCAGCCCAGGCCACAGGGCAGGGAAGCGCCCCGCGCTGGGTGGGGCCGGCATGGGCCAGGCCAGGGCATGGGGACTCCCAACCCAGGGCCCAGGGGCCTGAGGTGTCCCAGGGTGATGGGCCCACCACCCACATCAGGGTGTCCACTCTCTGGGCCCCGCCTCTGGGGCGGGGATGGCAGCCCCTCGTCCTTCCCTGGGCTCCTCTTCCCCCCTGGGGATTTCTTCCCGCGTGGCCGCCCTGCAAGTCCCAGCTTGACTTGGGTGCTTGGCCCAGTGTTGGCACGTGATCCCTTATGGCGCTGGTCGCTGGCCCATGTCTCAGCTGGGGCTCGGAGCTGCGCGCCCTGCTGCCTCCTTGTTCTCCGTTGATCATCCTCCATCAGTTCCGGAATGATATTTTCGGGAGCAGTTTTTTCATTTCCAAGGAAGTAGTGAATGTGTTTGTTTCTCACACTCTCCCTCCCCCCGCCCCACCGGCTGTGCTTCGCAGGGGGAACCGTGCTCAATGCGCAGGGTGTTACAGAATGACGACCAGGGTTTGGGTTGGTTTTTGTTTTTGTTTTTGTTTTTTTTTTTTTTTGAGATTTAATTACTTGAGTGAGAGAGTACAGAATGAGAGACACAGAGAGAGAGAGAGAGCAGGATGGGGGGGGGTGCACAGCAGGCTCCCCACTGAGCAGGGAGCCCAATGTGGGCACCCCTGATGGGGAGATCTGTTTTTGTTGTTTTTTCTCTTTGAAAGAAAATTTGTTTATTCCTGAGAGACAGAGAGGCAGAGACACAGGCAGAGGGAGAAGCAGGCTCCCTGCGGGGAGCCCGATTCAGGACTTGATCCCAGGACCCCGGGATCACGCCCTGAGCCCAAGGCAGCTGCTCAACCACTGAGCCCCCCGGGGGTCCAGGCTGACTAGGTCTTAGGCCAGGTGCAAGCCTCTCAGCTATTTATAGACAGTGCATTGCCCCTGGCGGGTCGCTGCAGATGGGGGGCAGTTTCTGTCACCTTTGTCCCATTGATAAACTGAGCTCAGGAAACTCTCTTCCATATTCGAAGCTGCACCTGGGAGTTTACCATGGATTCAGGTCTAAGTGTTTCCAGGTGTTCCAGCACATTCTTCCAAGTCACAGGAATTATGTATCCATGCCTGAGCTGGAGATACCCTGACTTTCTCTTTCCCCTCGTCTCGTTCCATCTTTCCTCTTTCTTTCCTCCCTCTCTCTCTCTCCCTCCCTTCCCCTCAGACTGCTTGAGAGTCTTCCTCCCTCTGCCTCTTCCCTCTCAAACTGTAAATACGTTTCTAAAATAAATAAATAAATAAAAATCCCTTCTGAGCAGGGAACCCCATGGGGGATCAATCCCAGGACGCAGGGATCATGACCTGAGCCAAAGGCCACCACCGACTGAGCCACCCAGGCGCCTCAGTAAAATCTTTTAAAAATCTTTTTTATTAAAAAAAAAACAACTTATTTTATTTTAAAAAATTTTTTATTATGTTAAAACATACAAATATAAAATTACCATGTTAATTGTGTGTTTCTTTTTTAAAAAAAAAGACTATTTGAGAGAGAGATGAATGAGAGCAGAAGCAGGGGGCGGGGTAGACAGAGAGGGCTAGGGAGAAGGAGGGGGACAAGGTGACTCCCTGCTGAGCGGGGCTCCATCCGGGGGCCCTGAGATCATGACCTGACTGAAGTCAGACACTTAACCGGCTGAGCTGCCCCGTGTTACTTGTTTTTTAAGTGTACAGTTGAGTGGCACAAGTACATTCACGTCGTTGTGCGGCCACTGACTCCTCACTCCCACAGCCCCTGGCCCCAGCCTTTACTCTCTGTCTCTATCAATCAATTTTGTACAGGGCATTTGAATGGCCCTGTACAGAACCAAGGAGCCCCTGCATGGTCTTCCCCTGGAACCACAAGCCCGAGCCTCCAACAAGCTGCCGCTGGCAGAGCCTGGGATCTTCAGAGCCCACAACCACGGGGACAGGGACGGGAGTACAGTGAGTTCCTTTGCATTGACCCCAGCAGCTTCCCGAAGGAGGCCGGGGGCGGGCCACTCAGTCTGCTCACCCCTCCTCTTGAGGGTCATGGCCAGTGAACCCTGTGGCCATGAACTGCCAAGGGGTGGTGGTGACTTCCTGGGCAGCAGAAGGGGGCTGGCTTGTCTGGGGCGCCAGAGGTCTCCATGGGGGTGGCGGTGGCTCATGTCTGCACACTCGGCAGATCTCCCCATCAGGGGTGCCTGGTGGCTCAGGCGAGGAGGCGTCTGGCCTCAACTCAAGTCAGGATCCGGGGCCCTGGGATGGAGCCCACATTGGGCTCCCTGCTCAGTGGGGAGCCTGCTGTGCACCCCCCCCATCCTGCTCTCTCTCTCTCTCTGTGTCTCTCATTCTGTACTCTCTCACTCAAGTAATTAAATCTCAAAAAAAAAAAAACAAAAACAAAAACAAAAACCAACCCAAACCCTGGTCGTCATTCTGTAACACCCTGCGCATTGAGCACGGTTCCCCCTGCGAAGCACAGCCGGTGGGGCGGGGGGAGGGAGAGTGTGAGAAACAAACACATTCACTACTTCCTTGGAAATGAAAAAACTGCTCCCGAAAATATCATTCCGGAACTGATGGAGGATGATCAACGGAGAACAAGGAGGCAGCAGGGCGCGCAGCTCCGAGCCCCAGCTGAGACATGGGCCAGCGACCAGCGCCATAAGGGATCACGTGCCAACACTGGGCCAAGCACCCAAGTCAAGCTGGGACTTGCAGGGCGGCCACGCGGGAAGAAATCCCCAGGGGGGAAGAGGAGCCCAGGGAAGGACGAGGGGCTGCCATCCCCGCCCCAGAGGCGGGGCCCAGAGAGTGGACACCCTGATGTGGGTGGTGGGCCCATCACCCTGGGACACCTCAGGCCCCTGGGCCCTGGGTTGGGAGTCCCCATGCCCTGGCCTGGCCCATGCCGGCCCCACCCAGCGCGGGGCGCTTCCCTGCCCTGTGGCCTGGGCTGAGAGGCTGCCCCTCTCTGGGCCTCAGTTTGCTCCCCTGTAAACTGGGGGTGCTTGTGGGTCCCCCCAAACACAAGTACTCGCGGCCTCCTTCTCCGAGGCCCTGGCTCCCAAGCTGTGCCCCACCTGGGTGCCTCGCGTGGTGGGAGGATGGAGAGTCTGGGAGGCCTGGGGGACAGTGGGGCGGTGGATCAGGTTCTGGGTCTGCTGTCACCACCCAGAGTTTCCATTGAGTTCCCTGCCCCAGGCCTCCTGCCTCTGCGGGGTGGGGCAGGAGTGGGAGCTGGGAGCAGGGTGGTGCAGGTGGGGAGGAGGGCTGCTGGCTGCTAGGAGGGGTTTCTGCTCAGCTGCCCCACCTGCCTCTTCCCTGCCTTCCAGAACCATCTGTCAGCTCCTTCCCCTGACCCCACCCTTCCTATCCTGGAGTGCTCCTGTGGGGCTCGGGCTGTGGGGCCGGCAGTGGGCTGGGGTGGAGGGTCCCAGGCTGCTGTCATCCTCCTGGGTCTGGGTGTGGGCGGCCTAGGACAGCCGTCCCCTGCCGTCCCTGCCCCTGGGAGCTGGCTGGCTGGGAGAGTGCGGGCAGCCCTG